GTGCCATGTAATAAGTTGGCGATGACAAGTATTTTGGTGATGGTTTCAAAGATGTGATCCAATAAATATTGAGTGTGTTATTTAAAATCCTGTTTTACACCTAAGGCTACATTAACTCATATACTATAGAAGACGAAAATGATTTAAAGTTCAAGACACAAAAATACATACATAGAACACTACAGTACAACTAGTAAAGAAATGATGACAGTATTGGTGCTGTTTCATGATGATCCACTAAATATTGAGAAAGTTATTCAAAATTCTGTTTTTACATCAGATATATCAGCCATATATAGCATGTAAATATGATTTAAACAAACACTGAAAATTACAAAATACAGAAATATTAAATGTTAATAGTCCTATTGTAAGAATTGATGACAAGCATTTTGTGATGGTTTCAAGAAATCCAATGAATATTGAGTGTGTTATTCAAAATTCAGTGTTTTACACTCATAATATATGACCCATATACGTAGCACTAAAATATGATTTAAAGTTTAAATACTGAAAAATACATCATATGAACATTAAATAGACAATCCTATTGTAAGAAATGATGACAAGTATTTTGGTGATGGTTTCAAGATGATCCAATGAATATTGAGTGAGTTATTCAACAATCTGTTTTTTACACTCACATATCAGCCATATATGAAGCACGAAAAATTGATTTAATGTTCAAACACTTTATTGATAATTGATAACTTAATGATGAAAAAATTTAATACTTATAAAACAATTTCAAATAGATTGAAGTAGTTGGTTATTCCAGATATATTTTTGAATATCTTATACAATATTCTGCATTCAAAATATTTTTATCCTTCATCCATATGTATAGCTTCAACGATCCATGAAATAAAAAAAAATTTTAGCAACATGCAAATGTTGTTTTATAAAACAAAATATACGATGAATATTTTCAATAATCTTGATTTTTACGTTTTATTATTAGCTGCTATAGTCAATGAACATCTTCATTCTCTTCATTGAATAGGAACGAGCATACGTAATATGAAGTTTGATGTCAATTACATACAGCTCACAGACGTATAGGATACCAAATTTGCTCTTAATGGAGTACTTTTTTAGGTTGTCAACTTTAACATAAGAGCAGATTATATATCATCAAATAAAACATAACCTATTATCGTTCAACATAGTCTGTGAAATATTTCTATTATTAACACTTTTTAACTATTTGAAAACAATAGACTTCAACCATCAAGTATTTTATTTTATAATTAAAATATCACATACCTCAAACAAAAGAAATCAATATAATATACTTACCTTTTAATTTGTTCATAACTTACCTATCTCGTTTCAATATTAATTCTTACACTACGAATCCACGTTTATTGAATAAAATTTATATTAAACGTTTAAAATGTATTTGATGCTTTTGTTAAGCCAAAAAAAAAAAATTATTTATTAAAAAGATGTTAAGAAATTGCAGATTTTCAAGTTTTAACTAAAATAGAATCATTAATGATAACGGTAGCCGGTGGGTAACGACTGAATTAATTGTACACCTGAGTAAGTAGATATCAACATTTACGAAATTACAAAAAATCGTATTCATTGTACCAACGAGTAAAACATAAATTTAAGTGAATTCATTTAAAAAGCATTGACTATTACCTCACTTTTACACCTAGTAGAGCAGAAATTACACAAAGTATTCAAACTATATAGGAACAACTAATTTTTGATACAACAACTACGAATACAGTTTGAAATACTATAAAAACGGATTTTAGTTTGCACTATTCCCAGAAAGAATAATTAACACAATAATCATTGTCGTTTTGCTTAATAGAATGCAATTATAAAATAAAATATTTCATACCGTAATAATCTGATAAATGAATAAATTCAGTAAGTATTGATAAGAGAATTTTGGCTCTATGATAACATGGTTTTTTCATTTTAAAAAGTTGTAAAATAAACCAAATGGAAATTTACGTATACTTCGCTAGAGTAAGATGAATGAGACGAATCTTTTGGTTTATACTTCAAGATTATCCAGTGAATATTGAGCATGTAATCAAGCTTTCAATTTTGTAAATGTACATTCGGTAGTATATTACACATGAATATTGGTTTTCTCTTGTTAAAATACTTTGGAAAAAGTAATGTGAACTTGTTGTTAATTTATCTTTAAGCAGAAGGACGAGATGAATCTTTTGGTATAGCCGGTATAGGTTTCAAGATGATTCAATGAATATTGAATGTGTTATTAAGCTTAGGTTACTGCAAGTCTCCGATTGGTCGATCCCAGTGCATTTAAACCTCGTGTGTCCGTAGCCAAGACATCTGAAGTATCTTGTTGTTTTGGTGGGCGGACGTACTCTAGCCCAGATTGGCCCTATTTGTACGCGGCCTCCCTTAAGTGTTGTTGCGGCGTCGGTGCTCCTTATGGAGGCAGTTGCTCTTTTCGTGCTGTTTGGAGCTGGTCTGATGCTTTTAATTCTGACTTATTTGTTTGTGGGCGGTAGTCCTGACTCAGGCACGGCGCCAAGGGGGGGAGGGCAAGGTGGGGCTCTAGCCCACCCAGAAAACAATTCAGCCCCTTCGTCAGCCCCCCTACTAAAAAATATGTACGATATAATAAAATCATAAAACATCAGAGAATTTATGAAATATACTTTTTAAAAATTAGTAATATTATGTAAATACTTTCGTATTTTCGAAGATATGTTTTAAGTTTTTGCTGTTATTAAAACCGATTTAATAATATTAATATTTTATACACAAAAACCGAAGAATATTATTAATTTAATTTAATGTTTGTTGTATACAAGTAAAAATATTTTTAGTTTATTTATTATTTTTAATATGTTTGATTAGTACACTAATATTGTGTAAGAAGTTACTTAATAATTAATAAAAAGAAAGGATTTCTCTAAGTATCTACATTTTAATATATATCCATTAAATATTTTAACCTCCAAAATTCAACAAAAAATACAAAGTAGATTCTTTAACACATAATATACTATGCAAATACCAATTAAAAAATGTATTAAACTAAAAACTTGAAATTTACTAGTTAAATAATATTATTAGGTAGGTAATCACAAATTTTTATTTAAAAAAATATTATTCCTACTGGTATTGATGCAATTTTATACATTTTTGTTAACTATTTTAACGTTTTAAGATTTTTAATCATTTACTGTTTGGTGCATAAACAGATATTGTGTAAAATATCAATATTTAGTTTATTTAATATATTTGTCGCTACTAAATAAATTTAATTTACCTAGTATAAATTTTAATAATTTAATTATTGAAGTTTGAACAAATAACATCTTCAGTCTTTTTACGGTGGATTAACCTATTAGTATTATCTAATAAGGGAAAAATCTACTACAATTTTAATAAAATATGTTTTGAAAAAAATCTTAGCCTGTGTAAATAAAATATTTTCCCCGCTCTGCCCCTCCTGAAAAAAATTCTAGTGTCGTGCTTGAGTCCTATTACTTTTCTCGAGGCGTCGTTGACCTCAGTATCAGTTGCGACTCCGTCGAGACCGCTGATGTCGAGGTCGTCGTACCTCACCAACCCACGTACAGTGGCTGTTCACGCCGCCGCCTTCTACTGTCCCGAACTGGTCTGCGTAATCGAGTGTGCGATGAACTTTTTGGCGACCACCGTTATCTATAACCACGACTTTGTTACCACCACGCTCACCCGTCATGTTTTTAGAATCAGTTCGTCTCCGTCAGCCTTTGAGCTCGTGGCGTGGTCATTATGTGACTGTCGGAGTCGTGTCCGTCTCGTGCGCTTGTGTCTTGACGCGACCTTGCGAAATCGCGTTAGTACGTTTATAATTTGGAGTGTTTTCATCGGGGTGTTGGTATAATCAATATATTATTTTATTATAATGTATCTGCGATATTCCGTGTATATATTATGCATGTCTAGTGTCGTGCCGCCGACGTCGACCAGAAAATATTATATTTATACAGTAAACGCCGCTTATAAGAATTAAGACTTACTTTAGGACCAACATAAAGTGAGTCTTATAACCAAATGAATTTTATTGACGAAGTGGAAAAAATTTTTTAATTATTTATTAATTTCATTTTATTACATACATATTTTGCTTTTACAGGTATAATTAATATTATGTGTGTATATATGTACATATTTATTTTTTTTGAAAAAAAAATTGTAATTTCAGTTTGTTTTTTATTTTGTTCCAATATTTCGGAAATATACTGCTCATACTCATATTGTACATTGGAATTAGTACCACGGTGATGAACAGCTCTCCTTAACACGTCTAAAGCCTCCAGAACCTCTATTTGATGGTGGTTTAACTACGAACTCTTCTTCAGCACTTTTATCATTTTCCTCTTCGTTGATGTTGGTGACTTCATTTATAATAGACTGACAAATTTGGTCCTCAGAATACTCTTCAGAAGTTTGAAGATCATGATCTATATCCATCCAATTCTCATTTATTTTGTCACGTGAGGTCTTTACTTTGGTCATCTTCTTCTTCTTCCTCTTCCTCAGTTTTGATGAAGCCTTCGTGACGAAAACAATTTCGAATACTCACATCACTAATATTATTCCACGCTTCATTAGCTAAGTGTAAGGCCTCAAGAACGTTAATTTTCTTAGAAAGGTCATTAGCTTTTAAAGTCGAAGTTGATTCACATTCAGACATTTCATCAATTAGAGTGATTACTCTTTTTCTCATTTTTAATCTATAGTAAGCTTTAAGCGTACGAATAATTCCTTGATCACAAAGCTGAATAAGTAATGTGGTATTAGCCGGTAAAAAAACCAGTTTTATTTTTTTCAAGTTTAAACTTACATTGTGAACCGTGCAGTTGTCTACAAAAATTACAATTTTTCTGTCTAGTTCATTATCCCATTTGATCAACCACTGACTAAAAATTTCTCGAGTCATCCATGCATTTTTATTTGCTGTATAATCAACAGGTAAGGCTTTAACTCCTTTGAAACAACGAGGTTGCTTACTCTTCCGACAATGAGCAGTTTCTTTTTTTTCTCCCGTCATACTGGCACAACATAAAAGCGTCATTCGTTCTTTACAAGATTTTGTTCCCTTTGCTTTTTCATTTTTAAAAACATAAGTATTTTCAGGAAGTGCTCTAAAGTACAGGCCAGTCTCATCAGCATTAAACACATCAGAGGGTGAAAATTCGGAGATAAGTGAAGGCCATTCATTTTCTAACCAAAAATTTGCACCCATATAATCTGCGTCACCTTGTTCTCCGTGCGCTTTTTGGAAAGAAATGTTTTCTCTTTTTTTCCACCGATGGAACCACCTTTCTGTCGCTTTGAAGTTAACCTTCCCCATTTTTTCTGCCAATTCTTCAGGTTTTTGGCGAAGCAAAGGATCTGACACGTGAGCATCTTTATCTCTGACTTTTACGAACCATTCTTTCAACGCACGTTCAACAGTATCATCCTTTCTACACTTTTTCTTTTTTTGACTTAGAGACTCATTTTGTAATGCTTCACATTCAATGTCTTCTATATAATAAGTCATATTATAGTTATATTCAATAAGTCCATAGGTACTAGAAATTTTTTCTGTACTTTTTTAATAATAAATTATATTTAATTGACGATTGCCGAATTGTTATCGATATCGGAAAAGTATTTTATGCCTATTGAATTACAGTTTACAGATTAAACCAAAATATGTTAGTGTTTATTTGAAATAGCAATTAGACATTCACTAGTTCACGATCTTGGCATATTAGGTACTTTATAAAAACGTATTATAAAGGTATGTAATTTCTTATGAATTAATAATTATTAGTAAATAAGTAAATTTTGCATATATATATATATATATATATATATAAAATAAGTATATATTTATATTTTTTTGCAACTTAAGGTAATTTTATCTTAGATATTAGTTATGTTGTACTTGTGGTATTTAAAATTATAATAATCGTGTAGACGTTTATGTTAAAATAATGATATTAGAATGGTGAATTAAACAATGTTTATTAACTATTAAGATTATGAAAAATTATAAATTAGTAATACACTAATTAATAATAATTGCAAACAACTAAACATTGTATGTTGTCGATGTAAATAATATTTTAATAATAAATAAATAAAATATTTTATTATTATTAATGATAATGATAATTAATAATACATTTCATACCTCGCTAAGTTTAAATTTTTTGAAAAATAATCGATAAGTAATGAAATTTTTTATATCATGTAGAATAATATATATATAATATATTATATATTTAATGCTATTTGTTTTAATTACTCAATTTTATAAAATACGAGTATGGCGTTAAAGTTATTTTACTTCTACAGTTTACACCATCGATATAATATTCTCATCATTATTAATACGTTAAATATTATTATTTATTTTATGAAAATATTTTTTCTGTTACCACTTACCAAAATTATTGATTTTTATTTTAGATTGAGTATAGTTTTAAAATGAGTAGTCGGCAAAGAGATAAATATCGAAAATATGAATCAGGTTCACAAAAAAGAGAAAAAAAATTAAAGATTGAAAACTATATTAAAAAACAACATGGTGCTTTAGATAAGTTTGTTGTTCCTTCATTAATCACTACTGAAAATGTTTTTGAAGAACAAAAAAAGAGTGATAGTGAAGAAGTAGAAAATGTAGAAATAATAAATGATAAAGAAGATAATTTAAAATTAATGAATATAAATGATGAATTTTATGATTTTGACTTCAATAACCCAGCTAAATGGCCAGATGTATTTCGTGGGTTCATGACAGAGGCGTCGGCCGTTCGCGGTCATGTAGTGGGTCTCTCAGCAGATGAGGTGTAGACTCACGCTCGCAAGAGCTGAGGGCGTCTGGGACGCGTGGAGGTAGCGAAGGTGCGGCGACAGGAAATGGTGTGAATAAATCCTACGGGGTGATGTCGGCCACTTCTGGCGACCGTGGTTCGTCCTATTGGATTGAGTAGGCATCTGGGATGCGAAGTGCAGAGTTGTTTGGTGCGATGGTAGGAGAGACAGCGGAAACTACTCCTTGGGGCAAGTTCTGTTTGTTCTTCTTACCAGTGACCTACGTGTTCACATTAGGTGCGCTTGGGGCGCGTGGTTGATGCACGGTCTTCGGACCTGTAGACGCTAGGCGGAGCGTGGGGAATAGAGTACTCACTCTATTTAAAAATAAAATGAGGGGTCACGACCACCGTGTGACCCGCGAGCGCGGCGTCATGGGTCAACCACTAGCCCTCGTGTACCTATAAAATTAAATAGTAGGGAGGCATAATGTCCTAGCTTAAGGCAATGATGGACCTCTGGCCGAAACGTCGCACTTTAGACGCCTAATTTAAATTAGGAATAAGTACTACGGGAACGACGTCTGGAACCAAGCATCGGGGAAACCTGGTATGGACGTCTGGGATCGGATTCGTAGTGGCAGTCATGTAAATGACGAAAGTGGTTAATGATCGCATGCTGATCAGGCGAAGGTTAACGGTGAGTATTCTCCTGGGAACACAGCCACTCTGCCGGTGGGAGTATACCACCTGGCGGTTGCTTAAACCATATTAAGTAGCGGGTTGGATAGTTCCGCGGCCTTACCAGTGGTCAGTAGAGAGATTTGATACATCTTGAAACCAAACTGGAAGTCATTTGAAAACCCATGTTTAAGGCGAGGGGCGTAAAAACTCCTCTTCTGAGACTGGTGGACGGCCTTAAACTGTCCTTATCTGACGATGCCCGATACTTTTCTCGAAAAGTATCTGGTGCCTCTGCCTGAAAGGCGACGAGTCTAGGCTCATATACCTTTCCCGCGGAGTGTAGGACTTTGTCCAAATTCGGAACTTCATGTCCCTCCTCCAAGATTTTAATCTCATAGGTGGTTCCCTGACCCCCCCTAACAGGTAGGGTCGCCCGGGGAGACCCCCGAAGGTGGTCCCCCGGTATTTTTCCCGTGAGCGCCTTCTAGGCTGCGAGCAGCGGTCCCGGGCCGAGCAGTCGTGTCAGCGAGTTGCCCACGCCTGGGCCAACCAACGAAGGTCAGATCCAGTTCTCGTCCTTCTCTGGGAGGACCCCCGGGTCCAGTCACTTAAGTCCAGACCCCGGTCTAATGCTTTTGTGGCCCGACTCCCTCTCGGGGAGTCGTTTTTATCGGTCCCCAGGTTGTTAAGTCCAGGGCTGTCCTCGGTCGTGCTCTCGTCACGCCGATTTAATCCGCCAGCTCGTCTCCGCCCTCTTTCGGGCGACGGGGGTCCTCAGACCCCCGGGTCCCCTTGGGCTCCGGTTCCTCCCGTGCCCTCCGCGACGACCCCCCGCTAGTGTGGTGGCGCGGCTACGGTCGCGCACAAGTACCCCACGAGTCGTGTCCCGTGGGGGACCAGGGCGCCGGTTTCCCGCGACGGTACGACACTCCCCGGCGGGGGCCGGACAAGTCCGGTCTCCTCGAGGACTGCGGTAGCGCGATAGGCCGGCACTGTTGAAGAGAAAGACCCGACGCCGTGCCCCTTGGACACATCGCCGGGTAACTCCCCAACTGCGCAAATCGCGAGTTGCGCACTCGCAACCCGCGAGAGGTCACGTGGGAGCAGGTTCGCCTAGACGCCATATGCGTCCCGGGTCGGCGCCCGGCGCGGCAGCCTAGACCACCGCGGCCGGGTCGTCCAGCCCTGTTTGCCACCGCCGAGTATCACCACGGTCAAATTCCGCCTCGGCGAGCGGACCCCGGCTGACACCGGTGCCCGCTGCTATTGAGACTAGCATATATACCACAATAATTAGTGGATAGTGGAATAGTATAATACGAAAACAATAATTATATGCAATATTATTTTTAATTAAAGTACGCGAATAGAGTTAAGAACATTGCATTACTCCATAAAAAGCAAATTAAGAAGTTTTTTCAAAAATATTATGCAACAGTTATATACCTCTTATATCATTGAATTCAAATTTAATACCATCCATTACAGTGACCCTCTTGTAACCTACTGTACAGCAGAGCGATACCTACTTAGTACTTTCTCACCTATTTTTATAATAATGATATAACATTTAACATTCATTTTTATATACTTACTCTCTATCATATTGAACTTGGTCTAAAAAACTAAGATGCGGTACCAAGTACCATTTTTCTTTTGTTTGATGCCGATGATCCAGTTCCAAGTTTTCTTTTATTTCGTGCGTATGAATCTCTTATATTTTTCCATCGCTTTTTAGTGTCGTCTACTACAAAATTACTAAAATACATTTCGGAATTTTTATATTTTTTTGTTATACTTAACTTTTGGTAAAGTTATTAGTTATATTATATTATTTTATTTTATTTACCAGATTTATCAATTTTGATCGAAATCTCTTTCCATATCTTATCTTTTGTTATAATATTTCTATAATCCGCTTCTTCTATATTATATAATATAGGATTCTTTTGCACCTCTTGGATCAAATTTTTATCTTCAGATGGCGAAAATACTATTTTTGACATCGTGTCGTCGTGTTGTGTCGCTTGTATACTGCTCTTGCAGCAGTAGTGTCGTCGGCTGTGGCGATCAAAAGTTGGCACGCCGCGACGTGTCGTGTCTTGCAAACCAGATTATACGATTTCCATTAAAACAAATATTGACGACATGTCTCGCGCCTTACAGACCGTACTTTTACCAAGCGACAGAAGTGGCGGGGGCGTTCTTAAGTCCAAAAGTTATTACTTTAAACTGAAATAATCCTCTTGGGGTCCTATATGTGTAGTGAACGTGTCTACGAGGGGAAACCCACCTGCCAGTATCTTGATTTCAAGTCCATGGTGCTGTAAATCTTCGCTCCACCAATGCCTTGAGTCGTGTCATGTAGGTCTGGCATTGGATGAGCGTTCAACTCCGTCTGCAAGTCAAGATGGCTATAGTCTACACAGAACCTGCGAGATCCATCCTTTTTCTTCTCAAGTACCACCGGTGCCGCCCATAAGGATAAACTAGGTTCGACAAAACCTTGTTTCTCCATGTCTCGCATTATTCCGACAATCAACTAATTTTTCTCTTGGGGGTACCCGTAGGCGTTTAGAGCCATCGGATTTGGATCCTTGAGTTGGATCTGGTGCTCCATCACCCGAGTTCTGTCTACCTCTCTGGAGAAAACCTCCGGATATTGGCATAAGACCTCTTAAACGTGCATGTCGCACTAACCTTCCGGTAAACTTGCGGTAGTTAAGTCCACTCCTACGATAATCGGAGTTACTGGATTTCTCCAATTCACGAAAACACGTCTTTCTTTTCCCAGGTGTATTATGTAACCATTATGGTCCCAAGCAACTTGTTGCTCCACGAATAAGTCATGGCCCAAGAAGACATCCCTAATCAGATCGTCTAACACTGCGGCCCTGAAACTTATTTCCAAATCCCCTATCCTGACCTGAAATTCGGAGAACTCCCTAATTTCCCGGATTTGACCATTCGCCTTTGGGACAATCTCTGGTTTTTCAATAAAACTTTTGCCAAACTTCTTTACCACCCATGGTTTGAAGTACGTCCTTGCCACTAG